CGGTCTCTCAAGATGATCCTTCAGTAGGCATCTCGTGACCAACATGCAGACCGACAGAGGGAATACAGACGGAAAAGTGGACAGAACGACTGACGAAGCGCTTTATAGGAGTAATGAGTAAGTTGTAAAAGATGGTTAATCATGAAACTTCAGCGAAGAAATAACTTTTGAGCTGTCACACTGTTGCATTTCCAGTAAAGCTTATTCTTTTCTCGAACGAACAGCCAAATTCTAGCAATAACTTGCACTTATTTGTATTTTATTTCTGCAACAGTAGTCATAAATAAATAAATAATAAATAAATAATAAATAAACTATTATGTGCATCCACAGAAAACGTAAACGAGAACAGTGAACAATGATAAATAGGAAGAACAAGACGTGATCCCACAGCGCCACCAAAATGGTGCGTTGTGGACACCTATACACACATATGGCCCGTTTTAGTGAGAGAGATAATAAAAATGAATATGCCATTCACACTGAATTTGGCATTTATCAATACAAATCTGGACGGAGATCTAGTGTGGCCTCAGAACTGGCTGCGATCTGCAATAGGACTCCGAGCAGGAGTCGCAAGAGAATCCTTGGATGGGCAGGTATACGTGTCTGTCGAAGGGAAGGAATGTGTTGTTAGAAATCATATCCCTGTAGCGAATGCGTTCTGTTGACGAGACCAAATCGGCCGTTGTTGACGGACGAGAAGCCACCATGAGCAGGAACACTCCACATCGGCTACCTAAAAGAAGGCTGGAGTAGACATAGAAGAAGGCGGTGTTCTCTTGAAGGACATCAATTTTGATGTTCACTTCTGCCCTTCTCGTTAGTTTATCTATATCCAAATTCAACATATGTGTGCCATTCTTGGGTTGGCCATTGGGAACAACATAAATGATTTGCACAAAAATCCAAATCTCGGAAATCATTTTTTAAGCCGAGCGGTGCGAAGCAAACACTTGAGAAAATCCATTATGAACTTAACAATCAGATTGAGTTCGGAAGGGGAATTGGCAGCTGGACATGCAGGGGGGGCAAAAAGTCATCTCGTTTATGGCACACATCGCTAAAGTTTTCGTCGCGTAGAGTACCGCTGTTGATGGATGTTTTATGGCAAGAATCATTGAATATCCCCGGAAGCAGGCTCTCCTTCACCGCCTTCAGAATATGCCGTCATCTGCTATCGCCGTCGAGCTCAAGAAGGACTATTGTAATCGTTCCAACTTGAAGCTGCTTCTTCAATTGGTTGACTGGTATATAGCTTACTAGAGGCAGTATCTCACTATGCAACGACCTTTTCGATCAGATTTCAGATGACGTCGTAATCGAACACGATAAGCAAGGACCTCATTGAGTTGACAGTTGGATTTGCCATGTTCCAATGCAAAATCTCCTTTCGCCGGCGTAGAAAGTCACTATGAAGTCTTTCGATAGGTTTGGATGTACTATTTATTTCCCAGTTGGGATCACTGGCTTAAATTTAGCACTTGTGTAGTCAATTCCGCTTTGAATGAGAAGCTGGGTGTTTTTTTATTGCTCCTGCCTCCCCAACCTCCCCCCCCCCCGCCCCCATTCATGCACATCGTCTCCTGCAACAAGTTGTGCAGTCATAGGAGAGACAGCAGGGCCTCTAAAAATATAATAGATTTCATGTGCTTTTGGCGCTCTTCTATCACAAGCGCATGACAACACAGGTTTCATTAAGTAGCACCAGTGATATCAAAAAGAAGGAGCGACTTTGGCTCTTTTCTAGCCTGAAACCACAACAGGTACCGCCGCTTCAGACCAGGTGTATATCGCAAAATGTATTGGGTTGATCCATAATTTCTGGCCGATTTTGGTTCAAATTCAATTTTCAATATGTCAAATTAACTTCATATCGAAATAAGTTGATATGTTGAAGAACACATCAGGACCTTCAACCAGGATGTTTCAGAAGCTCAAATGCGCAACGGGATAATTAAGTAGGAATCAAAAGAGATCAACGACCAAACCCAACCATTATGCCTTACGACAATTTTAAGAAGAACCTTGCAAGGAGCGCGGTAGGCAAGATCAGCGCTACGTTTGCCCTAGTCTTTGCTACTGATCGAGCACTGAGCTATTGGCTCAATAGCATCGGCAAGTAAGATAGGAGCTGCAAAGTTCGACCTCATCACGGACCTCCAGTCACTATGGATGATGGACCCTTGCGCAACGAATAGGAAGTGCATCCTGACGCTATTAGCAGGAAACTATAGCAAACACCTGTACGCAGCCTATGCTCCATGAGTCGATACCTGAGCGAAAGGGGCTGTAGCAGAATGGAGACTCGATGGAAACAGCAGGCATCGACTGATCATGTTCGAGAGGCACGCCTGACCATCTGCAGAAGTTTCATTCTTCGACCATATAGACACGACGTTCCCTAGTTGGTCACTAGTGCAGATGAGTCATGAGTCCACCACGATAACAACACACAGCACGCCTTGTGGCTACCTCGCAGCCTGGACTCACCATCTCGACCAAAGCATGAGCTCTCTCAATAGATGATATAACCACCGGTTCGTTGGTTTTACGCAGACAAGCATTGCGAAGGTGACCATGGAATAGCTCCCGAAGTTGGCTACAGCAGTGCGGGAGAACGGTTCGAAACGTCCCAAAATCTCCTTTCTCCGAAGGACCGCCCGAAATCACATTGCAAAGATAACTCGCCACGTTTCGAAGGAAACTGGCTGGACCACGACACCACATCTGTCGTATAGCCCTTACATTGCTCCATCGTACTATCACCTCCTCAGCTCCCTGAAGCAGCAGCTGGAGAGAAAAAGTCAGTAAATGCAACCACCCCAAAAACGACCTCTCCGAACTTTTCATTCCACAGCTCCATTCATTCTGGGAGGAATGCATCCATTCGTTCCCTAGCAAGTGGATGCTTATCAGTGATTATGATGGTGGTTACTTTTTTGATCAATCGTTTTTAAGGAAAGAGAAAACTTGAAGAAATCAAAGTGTTGAAATTCGGCCAGAAATTATGGATCAACCCAATAGAATGGTGAGAGAAAGAAGAGAATCTTCTGATATCGTTGGTGTAAATGACTATCATGAAATTTTACGATCATACGGTGTATGCCATTGACTTCTGAGGCGTTAACATTGAAATGGTCACACTTTGCATTAACTCTTCTCATTTACAAACCTGCACTTATGCATTTGGCCGTCGGCACGATTGTAATGAGATTGTCAGCGTGAGCAGGACGCCACTGTCGGCCAAACACGTCCTGAACGCACAGATTCGAATTGTTTGCACAGTAGTACGATCCTATCGAGTCTTGCAGCGGATTGCTGCTCGACGACGATCCATCGAACGTGTACTCCATTCCAGTTGAGCAGATGCACGAGTATAAACAGAATAAACGAGTTTAATCAAGGCTATTACGTCAACTCGAAAACAATTACCATTTTTTGGTTGCAACTTCCCATAGGAGAGGAGCACTTGTGCATCATAAGGAACGAAAAATGTAACCTAAATGGAAGTTCCGTTGGCACTGTAAACTGAAAAATAAACTCAGAAAAAATAAAACATCAGCAAATGAACGAAAATCAGCAAATGCCACTTCAAACATCTCCACGATTCCGATTCAAGTTGTATATCTGACGCATTTAAAAGAGTGCATCAGAGCTCTTCAGGGGGACAGTTAAAAGCTTGTAGAAAGAACGGTTACGTACGAATTGCTACAAAGCCTCTTTCCAGCGGGACCTAGTGAGACACGACAAAATCCTCCTACTGTATAATTCCTATTGCTTTCCCTTTTGATGTTTATGCGGTGCGGCACACTGGCGAACATCCGTTAGCAAACTTGACGGTCATGAGTGAAAAAACCTAATGAGCAACAGGGATCGTCCTCAAACCTCCTTTGGGGGGGGGGGGGTCGAACTTCGAAAAAGCAAACGTGACGGTTGACAGTGGCTATAGACTCTGGATTCCTTGTCAAGTACTTTGAGCTACGAAAGTGGTTCTCGGTTACTATCCAACGTTCGCAAAAACTGGATCACCTTGGGATGCTCACTTACAGTAATCTTGATTTAATGCTTTGCTGACTTCAAATCCTATTTTTTTTCTATTGCTTGGCTTTACGTCAAATTGTCGGTGTCTCAATCACTGAGACTTGAAATTTGCCTTTCTTGTGAACGTGACGATAGTAGCTAATGGAGCAGTACCTCTGGTGTTCTGGTACATTTTAGGGCAGACATCTTCTTTTGTGTCTTCTCGCATTTGGCTTGGCCTCTGTTCGCCTCTCTGATTGTTTTCCGGCACTCTTTCTCTTTGTGTTTGTTGCTGGTTCACTCTTTCACTCTGCGCTTGCTGCTGTTGCACCATTTCACTCTGGGTTTGCTGTTGTTCCACCGTTTGCTGTTGATTCTGGTTTTCTGCTCCATGGTTGTCGTAGAGAATCTGAAATTTACCATATTATACAATTGCATTGGACCTCGTTGAGAGAACTTTCTACTTTCCTTTCTGTCCTTACTTCTCAAGGATGAGGTCTAGAGGAATAAAAAAAAACTCGTTTTACTGGCTCCAACTCTATGCGTTGAGAATGACATGCATTAGAAACTGTCAACTTCTTCAAAACAGGACGAAATACGGTCCTGCGAGGTAGAGATTAAAAACTCTGTTACTAAACTTAACACAGGACTCGACGAAGTAGCGCACTATTGATTGTAGTGATAATCCTACTACTATAAAGCGCTTCGTCTGTCGTTCTGTATGTCTGTCACGAAATTCCCTAGCTCCTCGGGATCCGCCTGGAGGGACCGGGTCAAGTGTGGGATGGGTGGGCAGGGTCTCACGTAATACAAAACACACATCAGCTAAGCGGAGCCCCGCCCACAGAGGGCGTGGCGTGCGTCGAAATGAATTGTACCAAAGACCAAGATTTCGATTTCAGTGAAAAAACGACCTCGAAACTGGGCCAAAAAGTGGGTAAGGTGTGCATTGGTAAGTCACATCGAATTAGGGAGACCCACCCCCGGTGGGCGGGGCGTTCTCTAAAAAAGCAGTGCTTTATGAAAAATTTCATAACTCGGTTGGGAGAAAGCCTACAGAGCAGAAAACAATTTGGTGTAAGGGAGCAATGTCTAAGGTGTTTCCTGCATACATGACGTGGGCGGAGGCCCGCCCAGAATGGGCGGGGCGCGCTCTGAAGTGTACAGCATTTTCTACAAGCCCTCATAATTCGGGTCGGGGAAGTCCTTAAAGAGCCGGAAAAAGGTGGATAGAGGTGTATGGAGGAGTGGAGGCCAGCTGTCAATGGTGGGCGGGGCTTGACCAAAGTGGGCGGAGTTTGCGACGAAAATTCATAACTCGGCTCCAAGAAGTCCAGGAGGCTGGGAAAAAGGGAGTAGAGGTCGGCGAAGGAAAGGAGGTCAAATGCTATTAGTGGGTAGAGCACGCACCCAAGTGGGCGGAGTTTGCCAAAAGTATCGCAATTCGGTTGCAAGAGGTCCTAGAGATAGGGGAAAACGGGGTTAGAGGTTGGTGAGGGAAAAGAGCTCAACTGCTATCACTGGGTAGAGCACGCACCTAAGTGGGCGGAGTTTGCCAAAAGTGTCGTAATTTGGTTCCAAGAGGTCCCAGAGACCGGTGAAAAAGGGGGTAGAGGTCGGCGAAAAGAAGGGAGCCAAATGCTATTGGTCGGCAGGGCACGCACCGAAGTAGACGGAGTTCGCCACGAGATTTATTGTCCGGGCCGAGGACCGAGAAAAATAGGATAATGGTTGACGAAGAAAGAGCGCATAGAATTTAGCGGAGAATTCAGATATTCGTATTGTATCAAGCCAAATTTGAAAATTTTTCGTCGCACCATCAAAATTCGCCACAGATCTGTGTTGCGCGCGCAATGCGTGCGGCGCCAACTGGTAAATAAATAGTTAATAAAATATAAGGTTCTTGCACAAGATAGTCGTTATTTTCCCATGCTGGATAAAAACTGAACGATTCACACTCACATCGTCTGGGTCACCTTCTCCTTGTCCTTGTGGAGCAAGATCCTCTGTATAGTAGTAGTAATAATCCTCGCTATTTTCCTTTTTCCGGCCTTTCACTCGATCTTCTCGGCGTTCATCGTTCTTTGACTTCTGCTGAGCCCTTTCTTGCTCCGTTTGTTGTGAAGGATTTCCTCCTTGTGCAGCAGGTGAAGCTGAAAAAATGCGATAAGTTCTGAACAGACCAAATAATTTTTTACCATCGCATGATTATCTAAAAAATTTCCGTGGTGAAAACACCACGATTATCTCGGGGAGCGATAAATTGGGCGGTAAATATCATCCAAGTCAACAGGGAATCAGTTTGATTTTACAATGTAAATGGCCAAAGCGAGCCTTATCGAGTCTATAGCAGGATCCACAACAGTACAGATAGTGCCACTTTCACGACTCAAAATGTGTGGTAAGCTCACAAGGGCTGGAGTTTCGCTTGCATCCAACTCTGTTTCGCTGAAATACGGCCGTAATGCGAGACGGATTGTGGGATGAGCACCGTGTTTGTTGCACAGGCATATGTAAGCGCGGACGAGTAGAAAAGATTCACGTTAACAGTAAGCCACTCAGAGGTCTTTCGGGGTATGGAGCGCTTTTTCAAAACGGTTTTTGCATGTTATAGAGACACGCGCAGGGAGCATAAAACTGAGAATATTTTTTTCTGAGCGGCTCTGGGAATGCTAAAAACATGTCGAAACCAGGGCTTGTGGTTCGATCCCCACTGAGGACAAATTTTTGCATTTCTCTGATTTCCACTTTCTTGGGCTCATATATGTCTAAACTTATTCAGTGAACAAAAAGCTTCCAAAATGCAACTATTCAACGCTACAAATGCTGTAAATTCTACCAAAAATATAAAAATTTCATTTACAAAGAAAAGACCGTTCTAAGGCCGCTCAGAAAAAATAATGATCAGATTATGGGGCGGAAGTGGTGTAGTGGCAAGTGGCACGCTTACCACGCGAGCGGTCCGGGATCAAATCCTGGGTCGTGAGTCGCCCGGGCCAACCAAGCCTTCCATCCCTCCGGGGTCGGTTAATTGGTACCAGACTTGTCTGGGAGGATAAAAACACTGACTTGTACATCGGCTGGCCCCCGCAAGTCATTGTATAGGCCACATCGCATTCAAACGCCACTACGAATGTACAAATGGAAGTAGAATGCGTGCCGCATCCCAAAAAGGGATTGATCAACGGCAAATGCTTTATCCTTATCCTTTTATGGTTCTATGCTCCACACACGAGCCCATATAACATGCAGCACAGCGTTTTGGAGAAGCGCTCCATGACCAAAAGACTTTCTTTGTTGGTCACCGTACAAAAAAACTGGTCAGAATAGGCACACATTTCGATGGCTTTCGGAAGCATATTTTGGTATTTCCGTGAAGGGCTAGGAAGCGCCTATTGCAGAGCATCTGAATGAAAATTGCTAACGAGCGAGACTAGCTGTTAGCGGCAACGGTCTGATGAGTACCACCACATAGAAAACGGAATAACAAAAATGGCACTTACCGGCGGCTGAAGCCGATGAAGATGATGAAGCAGATGAAGCTGACGCTTCTGATGCGCCTGAATTGGCTGATGCTTCTGGCTGCACCTGAGTTGGCTGATGCTTCGGCTGCACCTGAGTTGGCTGATGCTTCTGCTGTGCCCGAGTTGGCTGATGCTTCTGCCGCATCCAGTGCACCGGACACCTCACTTACATCCGATTCTGTTGGAGGGGCAGGATCCTGAGTCTGTGGTGTTGGGAACATGTTGGGGGTCTGAGGGGCCATTGGAAACGGTTGCAGAGCCTGTACTTGTACAGAAGGCATGAATGGAGGGCTCACCCAGGTTTGTTGGGCAAAGGCTGGCGTTTGAGGCTGGGAATAAACAGGAGGTGTGGGCTGAAAATAATTGGGAAATTCCGGGAATAGTGGGGAGGTTTGCAAATAGTGATTGAGGTGTTAGCAGGGATCCCAATGTAGCATCAGGCGATGAGATTGTAGCGAGACATGCTGAACAGTACTTTATGGCGGATAGCACAGCGAATACAAACAATGGCATCTCATCAGCAAGCTGATTGACCGCGGAACATAGCTTTTATATCAAACCTGTCCTGACCAGGGCTATTTGGACACGAAAACTTCATAACGGGAGCGCCATAATGCATGTACCGTCCCATTAGCATAGCTTACACTGACCAGAAGCTGCATCAGTTTTCGAACCCCTTTACGCAGTTGACAGGCCGCCGACGACCTTCAGTGGGGGAGTTGGGTGAAATCGCATGGTCGCGTGGCCGCTTTTCCTT